TTGAAACTGCCAAGCTTGCCTAATATTGTATTGGCATCTGTTCCTTGTTACCGATGACTTTTATAAAACAGGACTCCTCTTTCCATCGATTGACTCCTCTGTAAAATCCTGTGACATACCAACTGGCGTTTCTACCCAGGAGAACCTTTACCACCATTTCTCCGACGCCTGATGAAGGGTGCTGGTGCCCAGAAGTTTTGCAATTAAAGAATTCTTTTGGCAAAAAAATCTTGTTGGTCTAATAAAAGAAATCATCTCTACCACGAGTCCTGATCGCCTTTTCCTTTAGACCAGTGCGGCTACAACCCGGATCCCCGATTTTTATGAAACCACGCGTGCATTTTTAGAAATGGAAAACTTCCCACGGGAAAATAAAAGTACTGGGAAACTTTCCGGCCCAGGCCCTTGCTCGGAGCCAGCAGGGCGGCCCCACGGGAGGGCTGCGCGCCGCGCGGCCCCAGCGGCTCTGTCGAGGAGCCGGCGGCGCGGCCGCCTCAGCCCAACAAGGCATCCAGCGCGGGCCGACACCCGCCGAGGCCGGAACGCGACCACCCCCCTCAGTGGGGCGGGGTTCTGGCCACGTGACTAGGGGCGGGGCTTGCGCCGGAAGCAGGAAGTGGCCGTTGGTGCTGCCGTTGCTGCTTCTCTAATCCCGCGCCGCCTGGCACCGCGGAAAGGCCCTCTTCCCCCCGGAAACATGGCGGGAGTGAAAGGTACCGCCCCGGCCCCACTCCTCTCCCCGGCTCCCTCAAGCAGCGGCGGGGAGCGGGGCTCGGGCTCACAGCCTCCTCCTCTCGCTCCGCAGCCCTGGTCGCGTTGTCCTTCAGCGGCGCCATCGGCCTGACCTTCCTCATGCTGGGCTGCGCCTTGGAGCTCTACAGGTAACCGCGGCGCCGCCGCCCGCCGGCCCCGGGGTCGCCGGCCCCCTGCAGAGCTCGTGGCTGTCGGGCCCGTCGCAGGGCTGGGAGGGGCGGCCCCAGCTCACCTAGTGTAGCCCCCTGCTCTAACCCTAACTGCGCTTGAGCACTTGCAAGGAAGGAGAGTCTAAAACTTGAGCGCTTGCAAGGGAGGCCAGTTACAAAAATAATAAGCGCTTGCGAGGAAGGTCCGAAACTTCTCCGGAGCCTGTTCCAGTGCCTGGCCCCTCTCGTAGTCAGAAGGTTTCTCCTGATGTCCCCTCTCAACTTCCCCTGCTGAAGCATGAGGCTACTGCGCCTAGTCCTGCCTCCTTATGGTCCCAACTGTCTCCATCCTTGAGGTAATTCGGGCATTTGAAGGTTGTCATCATAGCCTCCCATCAATCTTTTCTTCTCCAGGTTAGATAACCCTAGTTTTTTCAGCCTTTCCTCACAAGTCCCCCAAGTCCTGCCTCATCCCCGCAGGCCAGTGAAACGGCTCCTTGGGCCAGGTGTTTGATGCCACTGAGCGAGAAGGTATTTAATTGTCTGCTTGCTGTTTTTTTTTCTTCTATGCCGCTCCATCCAAAACGGGCCCAGGGCACCTTTATAATAAAATCTACCATGTGTGGAACCTCACTCCCGCGTTATTTGCACAGATAGGTTTTTGGATGGCTCTGCGATATGTTTAACTCCATACTCTCAAGTGTTGAAATCCTACTGTCCTAGAACACCAACCCTAGGTAACAATGCTTCAGGCAACACCCGCTTAGTGCTTTTAATTGGTTCCTGGAAAACTGAGCTTTAAGCAGAAATAACATTAAGAAAAATGGAAAGTTTTTGATGAACCAAGATGACGACCGTGAGTATTACAACAAAACTTGCTGAGCAGTAAGTGGAATCAGGTATTGATATAAAATGAGCATTGTAGTGAAATAGCACTAAGCAAAACAGCGTTAAGCGGGGGTTGCCTGTATATGGATATGGCACTTAAATATTTTTATTAAAATCCCTAAATTGAATGGAATAAAACTTTTTCTTAAAAAAAAAAGAAATAAACTGGAGCATGCATGTAGTCTCCAGATGCAATATAATTTTGTTAAGTGTCTTTAATTTTACAAAAAATCTCTAGCACTATTTTTAATTGGTGTTTTGTTGATATAACTAACGTGATTCTGAAAAAAGAAGGAAATTTACATCTGACTTGCACAAACAGTGTACTAATGATCAAATGTGAGTAATTTATAAATACCATTTGAAAAATTTAGCATTGCAAGATTATATAAACATACTTGAAAACTTGATTAAGATTTAAGATGAGTGATAAATACACACTTTTCTGTTAGTGATTGCAGAGAAACATCAAGCATGCTTAAAGATTAATTTTTTTCTGATCGTCAAAGATCAATGAATTTAATTTCAGTTATTTGATACAGATACAGGCTTGATCTTACAAAGATGCACATGCTTAATTCTTTGCGTTTGAAAGTCTTAGTGCAATGTTTCTTAAATCTTTTTAGACTCAAGGCAGTCCTTAGAAAATGCCATATTTTTTGACTGTGGAACAGCAGGAGAGCAGTAGTGTTGCCAAAAACAAAGAAAGACCACAGCAGGTTAGAAAGTTTTTGACACTACGGATTCCGATTTGAAATCACTAGATTTATCTTATGGATCATGTGCAAACCTAATAGTGTTTATGTTGTGCAGCACCGTTAAAGGATCTCTCAGCAACCCTACAGTGCTGCGGCACCCTGGTTGAGAATCACTGCCTTAGTGAAATCAATAGACTACTTGTATGCCTAATGTTCTGTTGGATTAGTGCCTCGGTAATTATGGAAGTCCTGTTTTCTCTTTGAAGACAAAGTAGTCTGCCTGATTTGACTACTGTGTGAAATATGACTTTGTTTTCTTATTGGGGGCTCTTTCTCCCACAGGGTCTACTGGCCATTGTTTGTCTTGATATTTTACATCATATGTCCTATACCTCACTTCATTGCAAAAAGAATAAGCGATGACACAGATGCAGCTAGTAGTGCCTGCAGAGAACTGGCATATTTCTTCACGACTGGAATTGTTGTTTCTGCCTTTGGATTTCCTATCATCCTTGCACGTGTTAATGTAGTAAGTTCTGTTGACTTGTTTTCATTTTAAGAAACAAAACCATTGCATATTTGTTGATGGGCTTTTATATCCAAGGCTACTTGAAATGATGGTATCTTTAGCTCAGTTCTTGGAGTCACTTTTGTTTGTAAGCTTCTATGTTCATTCCTTATTATCTTTAAGTTTGTCTGTCTAATGCTATATCTGAAATCTGACCAAAATTTTTGATAGTGGCTCTGCTGAAATTAATAACAGCCTGTATCACTTCCTGCCTTGCCTATTGCAACTTCTTCATTCTTTTTAAATGTCTTGTTTCTACAATTAGAGAGACCCAAACATCTGTGACCAGAATGTGTTCTTGCCTAATGAAATAGGCCATGGGCCTATAACTGCTCTCCTTGTTTTCAAAATATTCTGTGCATTTGCTCTCTCCTGCCTTATCCACCCACTAGCTGCATTCTTCTCTGTTCCATACCTGATGGCATTTCAGCCTCCTTCACATTTATTTTTTTTTCTTTTTGGCTCCTAATGCACTGTTTTCTTTTAATATTGTTTTACAATCCTATATTTTTGCCTAAGCCTTCTAAGGTATTTTCTACTGTTATATGCGAGGGTCCTGTATAAAATGTTGTATTAAATACTTGTGAATTTTGTCTACTGTCAAATCTGAAATGTCCACAAGAGGGTACTCTCATCCCTAGAAATAGACCAAAAGGTCTATTTTGTAAGATTGTATATGATTGGATCCAGCAAGCTATTGAAATTTTAACATCACAAATTACTGCACGGTTATTCCTTGCATTTGTCTGTTGAAATACTTTACAGTTGAGAGAGCATTGAGTATGGCAGTCTTTTAAGAATGAATTGTATTATTTGTTCTCTTTACCAACAGGGCTCTGCTTTAAGATGTCTGTTTTGTTCTAATAGCTGGTGTATTAAAAAGGCTGACTAATAAGGGAAAAATGTATAAGTACCGCACAGTAATTTCAGTGGTTGTTAATCAAATAATGTAACCAGTTTTTTTCTTGTAGTTTACATTATGCTTTTAGCACTCTTATGTAGTATTTCATTTAGCTTATCTAATGCATACAAATAATACAGACCTGTATATACAGATTAACGAATGCAGTTTTTCTTATTTTCTTTTTATCTTGTGTTTCAGATCATGTGGGGAGCCTGTGGTCTTGTCCTCGCTGGCAATGCAGTAATTTTCCTTACCATTCTAGGCTTCTTCCTTGTGTTTGGTAGGGGGGATGACTTCAGCTGGGAACAGTGGTAGGACATCACTGTGCTGCTGCTAAACAGAGCACATTGTCTGTGTATATATTGTGTATATGTTTTTGTGCATGTTAGAATGTATGTGTATGCATGCACATAGCCTTGCACTATCAAAACATAATACACTTTTTATATACTTTTATGTCAGCCACAGGGGGAACAGCCCTCTTGACAGTTTTTTTTAATGTGTGCAGAGTAAGCTATAACTATAATGGCTAAATCTGTCCCCAGATATGTTTACATAATAATGTGAACCATTTTATTCATTTTCACAATTTGTACATTATTAACAATATCTTTAAATATAGTAGTGCTGTTGATATGTGATGGAAATCAGCCAACATATCTGGCATTTTTAACAGCATAATCAAAATACTTCTTAGTTATGTGGCTTCTCTGACTTGATTGACTTCTGCTTTGACTAGGAATGGAACAAATAGCTGTAATTTTCAGTAGTTTGTTTTCTCAAGAATTCAAACAAAGTCAAATCTACATAATAGCCATTGTCAACCCTCTTTTCTGATCCACAGTAAGGAGAGGGGAAAAAAACAGTGCCTGTTTAGGGGGCTGCTTTCACATTTCTCTAAGCTTTGGGGCTCTCCTTCGCATTAAGGTTCATTGTACACCACGTTACACTGAGCAGCCCACTTCTGCAAGCCAGGGAATATCAGGTTGGCTCTTGCCCCTTTTTCCCCATTTTTATTCAATGTTCAACCAATGAAAGTTTAAAAAAAAAAATGTTTTCATTCCTGTTCTCCCAATAATTGTTGGTGGATGTGGGGCAAGGGGTGTGTGGAATCTAATAATATATTTTTATAACTTTTACCATGTTAAGAACTGACATTTCTTATTTGTTGAAAAATTATATATAAGAACTGGCATCAAGAAATTTATTATTGGTATGCATTGAACAACTCTATAGTCTTGTGTGTGAAATGCCTGAATTATAAAGAAATTAATTAGTCCAATCAGAGGTCAATAATACAGTGGGTACTGTAGGATTTGGTATCTTTGTTTTTGTTACTTTAAAAATATATTTACACAAACTGTTTTTTGTATGAAAAGGTAATCACATTCCAATGTTATAGCATATTTTAAATGCTGTTATTCTATTAAGCATTTGTCCATTTGTACCTTATTATATTAGCAAATTTTACTACTACACTGAGATAGCAAATCTTTTATATTGGGAAGGAGGCATTTAATTATGTGGAAGTTTATTCTGCTACAAACCTAACCTCAGAAAGCCAATATAAAATAGTTTTGTACCGCTGAAAAGGTGCAAGGAAACAGTTGCTCTAATTTATTCTGTCATGCAAGTATGGACTTAGCAATTGTTGACCTCTGCACTTTGAAGTAAGACACTGAATGGTTAGATTGAGCAGATATTTTGGTAGCACCAGCAAATTGAGACTGAGTAACTTCTCTGCCTGCATATTTACAGCTTAGTTCATAAGGAAATGTTGTCAGCCCATTAAGGACTAACTGTGAAAGTGTGGAGAAGAGTTGTTGATTTTAAAGAGCGTGGTATAAAAATCTAAGACAGTGGTGCTCAGCCTTTTTGTCCATTGGGCCAGATCGGTGATGCCTGGTTCTTCTGTGGACCAGATGCGGCTGATAGGTTATTTAGAGGACTGAGACGTAGCCCAGCCCCAGTCTAGCCATGTGAAGGATGGGGACTTGGCCCAGTCCTACAGAGGGAAAGGGTACATGACAGCCCCACTAGGGGGAGAGGTTGGGCTTGGCCCCTGACCTGGCCAGGCAGGAGGAAAGGAGGCATGGTTCGGCCCCGAACCAGTCCTACAGGGAGAGGATGTGGCCTGGTGAGAGAAAGGGGCATGGCCTGGTCCCAACCTGGCCATGTGGAGGGAAGGGGGTGTGGCCAAGCCCCAATCTGGCCATGCAGGAGGAGGGTCATGGCCTGGCTCCCACCCACTGAGTAGGGTTTGGGATTTTGGCACTGGGGAGGGGTAGCAGTATTAGCTGCCACTGCTTCCCTGCTACCAGATTTCCCAACCCTTGGCAGCTCTACAGACTGGATTCCAAGGCTCCACAGGCCGCACTTGGTCTGTGGGCTGGAGGTTGAGAACCCCGATTTAAGATAATGCTGTTCTGCTTTATGTGTGTGTTGACATTCAGAATACGCTTTCCCAATACTGGTGTACTACAAACTGAAGTCCTGTGGATTTCCACATTTATTCAGGGTTTGAAAACTAACTCATAATATGTTAGTCTTCTAAGATGGTAGATCTTTTAGCTTATCTTTTTGTCAATGAGAAAAAGTAAATTGAAATAATTTTGAAACACAACTAATGCAGTGCACTAAAATATTAAATTACTGATAGAAAAAATTGTTTACGATATTTCAGTTGTGTTTTCTGTTTAAAGAAACTGTCACTGTATCTTGCAAGTTGAGAGATCAATCTGATGTAAGCTTCTGTAGTGAGGAACGGAGGCAACATTTGTTGCTGTTGAATTTCAGACTGAAGTGTGTGTGAAACAGCTGTTGTGAAGTACTTGCCTTTGAGCAAATTTTACTTTTCTTGGCTTCTTCAAAATGGTTATTTCTTGTCTTTACTGCATAATATTTAGCAGAAAAATATTTGCAAAGATGTCAGACGTCATCAGATGTTCTTATTCCTGCCTTTTAAATCAAGGTCGCCGTCCTGTAGGTAAATAATTTTTAACCATGCTGATGCATGATTTTAATGTAGAATCTGAATAGTGTAAAGCATTATTTAGGAAAATTATCTGTTCAAATAACTAGTTTGAGTCAGTCTCAGTTGATAGGCTTTGCCTGGATTTTGAAGAAGAAATTTTGCATATTATCATTAACTGCTGTCATTTCACTTTGCCATTTATTGAGTAAAAAATAAGTGTAGTTGAAAATGCAGTTTAAGTGCACAAGTCTGCAAGTATCTAAACTCAGCATTGCTATCCAAGTAAATTCAGTGAAGCAAATTTTAATAAGTGCTTATTTAAAGGTTTAAATTTCACACATGGTGTTTTACAATTTAGTGTTTTTTACATAAGACAGGGATGCACTAAAAGATTGCATAGCTTACCAAATTAGAGCTACAAAGAAATCTGTTTGAGGCGGTGTAGAAAATTGTATTTAAGTTTGAATAAAAGAATGAGAAAGCAATAAATATAACAAAAAAAATTTCTGTTTTTTTTAGAATAGGCAGTAGCTCCAGGTTTAGCAAGGAGATTTCAGTTAATTAGCACCGGTAACAAGTGTTTAAGAAAGAAAAGAAAAACTGGGGTCCTGAAGAGATGGCTCTAAGCTTTGACCTTTTTTCTGTGGATGCCATTGATGGGTGCATCTCATATTGGTAGATGCATACTGAGTAAGGAAAGCAATATTTTTTTTCCCACTAAATTTATGTACTTAATTTTCAATCTTTAGGAAGTTATCATCAGTTTTCCATTTCAAGTTGAAATTTTTTTGTTATTTCAAATTAATATGTACAGCTTAAATCTTGCTATTTTCTTTTGGCCCCCACAAGGTAAACTTGTTTGAGTGAATCTTCAGCTAAGTTTCCACAGGAGGGGAGAAGTAGCCTTCAGTTAATTTGTAAGGAGCTGTATCTGTTCACAAGAGTGCACTAACAGGCACACTGTAACTGTCTGTTAACATTTATTTACTACAGTTTCCTTCTTATAGCTTTTCTACATGGCAGTGAACATGTATGCGAAGTGCCTTAGCCTCAAGATTATTGTAGTGTGGAGAAGACATTAACATAAAAACAACACTATATATTTTGCAATCAGTTTAAAAAAAAACACATTGTATAAATCTTTATTGTTGACTAATCACCTTTTCTCTATTTTAAAATACAGCACAGCTTTTGTAACTTTTGTAAACACTATTTGTATTTTCCATAATTGCCAGGTTACTGAAATCATGAAGTATTAAAACATTTGTAATTTAAAACATGCTGTTTTTTTCCAAGTTGTCTAATAAAAACTGCTTAAATGTACCTTTTATAGTGATTTTTTTCTCTTTCTTTTGTTAGTTTGGATTTGAATGTTTTAACTGTGTCTGCCCTTTCTATTAAATGTAAGGAAAACACTGCATAGTTTGCATTGTGATGGAGTCAATGCACTGGTAGTGGTAAGTGTTCATGGGGTCAAGGTATGGTGGAACAAGTTTTAGACCCCATAATCTCATTCTCCATAAAAACAATTACTGTCGCATGGTAATGCTTTCCACCTGAACTAGAATATGTTTTGAAATTATTCTGTATGCTTGCATCCTAGCAGCACTTAACCACTGAACCATTTTAAGGATGAACAAGTAGGGATTTGTCTATCTATGGGTGCCTAAGATTTTATGATTATTGAATCCCCAGACAGGCCCAGAGGCCATTAGGTCATCAAAGGTGGACTCCTATTTTCTCCTCTGCATTGTGTTTGCCAGGTGTTCTGAATTTGTCAAAGCCAGCTTTGAGGTCCTCGGAGGTGCGTGTGCTGACCCTGGAAGATAAGAAATATAATCATTTCTGCAATTAAACTTCTTTGCAAATTCTGGGGTGCTATTGTTAGGGCCTCTTCCTAGTCTTGGGAGACCTGTGCTGGAACAAAACTCTACATATCTGGCACAAGGGAAAATCTTTAACCAAGACTGTAAACTTAACACCCGCTGAAGAACTCATGCAGAAGATATCCTTGCGCATATTCACCATATGGAAAAGACTTCAGTCAGCACTCAAGCCTGACTTCTCTTCAAGCCACACTTCCCTTCTGAGAACCCACACTGACTGAAAATCCTTATCTATAAATAGATAACGGATAGAGTCTGGATTCAGCACCAATCTGCTGTTGGTGCCAGAGGACCCACGTGGCCAGGAGTCTATGTACATCAAGTGCGAGAGTCTTTAGCTGCATGTTGGACCATGTTACAAGCTTGCAAATGTCTTGTGTGAGAGAAATTTTACTCAGAACTTGAACTTGATGGTGCATCAGTAAGTCCACATGCGCTATACGTGTACTGATTGTGAGTAAGTTTAGTGTTAGCTCAACACTTAGGCATCTGCCAACCTATGGAAAACACCCTGTAAAACATGCTGCAGGGAAGTAGAGCTTCAGTGGGATTTCAGATCTTACCAAGTGATGGAAGCCTCATATAAACAAACCCTGTTAAAGGAAGAAGCATCCTGACTGCTGTCTTTGATAGGCTATACACGGTGCAAGGAAAGAGCTTGCTGAGTCTCCTGCTGTGCTTAGGTTCACAGTGGACTGCAGGTAGTCAAAGTGTGCTCTGTGTCATGTAGCCAGGATTTTATATTATTTTTGCACTGTCTTCCTCCTTCACTTTTGATAGTAATTAAAGATCTGAATTTTTGTCATTTCTCAATAGCTTAGCAGAACTGCCTTTTTCTCATGTGGCACTTTGCCGTCTCGAATGCCCTTGTGGTCTGTCTCTGAACTCCAAAGGGTGGATAATTAGGAGCATGTCATACCTGCAGACCTTAAACCCCTTATTTGGTTGCTTTTCAAACATAATGAAAGAATGATTTATTTAAGTAATCCTATTTTTGGTAGGCAGTGGTTGGTGTGAAAGGGCAGCTGTTTGGTCGTTTTGGCCAATAGTAGCTGAATGGAGGTTTTTAATGTTTATGTTGAAACATTTTCTTTGAACAAATTAAGTTCCGGTGAGAAGTATAAATCTTAGCCAAACCATATATTCTACACTCTCAATTTTGTTTTTAATGTTGTGCATTATAGCATATATGCATGACTTAATAGTTCACAATGATTTAGTGGCACAATGCTTTGCTGCGTAAACAGAGAGGCGGTTGAGTTTTCATCTGAAAATGTAGCGCTTAGTTTCTGCATACTTGATTTTTCAACTTTAATATTGCTGTCATTGATGCTTCCTGTTGCATCTGAAATTACTTGTCTTGGTACCTCCTGACCCTACCCTGTCCCTTGGTGAAGCATTACTACTGAGGGCAAGTATTTAATTTGACTATTGTTTGTTGAAGCCCAGACTTAGAGTTTCGTACCTGTCTGTCAGCTAGGCAAACACCAGCTGACTGCTTGACACTACAGTGGCCTGGTGGCACAGAGGTTCAGGTTTTAAGCGTCTGGCTGCAGACTCTGGCATAAGTTCTGAACTTGTACTGATGGACACCGCCACTTAACCCAGCTACAGATTAAACTTTCAATAAGTGTCTGCCTGCATAATTAAAGCTGCATTGTTGTCTTGTGGGCTGTTGGCTGGAGAAGCCTCTGTGTTTTCACCACACTAGCCTGATGGATCACCTAGGCTCAGATACACCTTTGACTTTGTTTGACTCTTTGCTAATTGATCGTATCTTCATTAAGTAGAATTTGTTGCCTGGACTTAG